CCTCACTTCCCACATCTTCCTCCATTCTTCATCATTTATTCTTTTTCCTAAGTCTTGTTCCCACACTAACTTCAATCCTTTCTCAGTCTCTTCTTCTTCTAGATCTAGCAGGAGTCTCTTCCTTTATTCCCACATATTTTAAACACCTAAGCCTGCAGAAGAGCAGAGGGCAACTCAGAGGTTTACCTTGTTTGTAAGTATTTAGTGATTCAATTCAGGTACTGTATTAGAAGTTTGTAAGCTATGATGTAAAAATATATTTCACCGAATATGTCTTTCCACAAGGATCAGTTAATGAGGGCTTAGGAAGGTACAGGCCGTAATTAATGTATGATAACGTAATAATGGCCTCTTCCACAAAGTCAAACATTTCATGGCATGAAGATTACCCTTAGTTCTGAAAAATTTTGCAACTGGAGCATAGTTTCTCAAGGTATGGGATTGTGGCTGCAAGGGACCACAAAGACCATCTCAGCCAGTTCTCTATCAAAGGGTGATCAGATAGGATTCATGTGCCTACACAAGAGACAGTGCCCAGACCCCTGGAAGGGAAACGAGTCTCTGCTTCTGCACATGTGCCTGTCTCCCAGCTGATCAGAAGTATGGGCAGTGGCAGTGGCATGACAGTGGTAGCGCAAGATGAGCATTTAGGCCCCCCCCTCACTGGGCATTAACCAAAAAACGTAAACCACGAACCATTATGAACCACAATTTTTCAGGTTGATGCCCATCTCATCTCAACTCACAACATTTGTGCTTTATTAGAAATTCAAGCAAACTAGAGTCAAGTGTGTGTGTGTGTGTATTACATTTCTATCTCACTGTTCTTCCAGAATGAGCTCAAGACAACAGCTAACAGCTTTCACCCTTTGTACTTTATTCTCACAGCAACCCTGTGAGGTAGGATACTCTGACACAGACTGAGTAGACCAAGGTAATCCAGTGAGTCCTTGGATCAATGAGAAATATCACCTGGATCTCCTAAAAGCCAATACAGTGCTCTAACTAAGAGTACACTGTCTCCTGTCTGCTTTACTACATCAAGCTTGCTGAGGGTAACTTGGATATAGGCCAGGCCATTCTAGATTGGGCCATGCTAACTTGGGAATTTTGGAAGTTGTAGTCAAAAAGAGCAGATTTCTAAAGCTTTTGGGCAGCAACACAACACATAAGAGATAAAAGTGGAGGCCTGAAGAGCAAAAGAACATTGTCTAGGTCAACTCTTGCTCAAAAAATCCACTGGGAGTGTCCCTATTTTGTATATACCTGGCCTACCTGACAGGGTGTTAGCAATTGGCTGAGGATCAGAGACTTGTGAAGCAATAATTCATTAAGTGAGCAAGCTGGGTGCCAAGATCCATAGGCTCCAGCCATTTGAAAGACAATAGGCATGGCTGGTAGAGAGCGTCAGGAGGGCCGGTGCAGCTACAGTAGACTGTCGGCTGTCAGACCTATTCAACCGTCTGCATGGATTATTCTTCTCCATGTCCCTGCCAGGATCTCAACAATGAAGCAAGTCACCACTGCCTTTACACAAAGCAGCCTGAAGGAAAAGCTCTTCAGATAAACGAGGAGCTAGGTGTTTGAAAGGCCAGCCTAGCCAATTTTAAAATGAATTGCTTTGGTGTGTGTGTGTTTAGTCGTTTAGTCGTGTCCGACTCTTCGTGACCCCATGGACCAGAGCACGCCAGGCCCTCCTATCTTCCACTGCCTCCCGGAGTTGTGTCAAATTCATGTTGGTTGCTTCACAGACGTTGTCCAGCCATCTTATCCTCGGTCGTCCCCTTCTCCTGCTTTGGTAATGGCCCATTATACCTTTGGTTCCTATGTAAGAAGAGCACTTCTGGGTCAGACCCAAGTCTTAACTAGTTCAGCCTTTTGTTCCCACTGTGGTCAACTAGGAGAATGTAAGTACAAAGTAAAGTCCTTCTTCTCCAGGATAGATAGATAGAGAGATAGGTAGATAGTTCAGACAAACAGATTTTTCTTCCATGAATTTAAGGTGGAATACATGGCTCCCCCTCTCATTATTTTGTCCTCATAACAACTCTGTTAGGTAGGTCTGGATGAGAGAGAATGATGGGCCCACGGCCATTCTATGGCTTAAAGTCTCAGTAACTTACTCTATGACATTTGTAAGAAGAAATAATTTTTCTTATAGTTTTGAACAGATCAACAGCAAACTAACAATGTCCTGACCTTTTCAACAGACTAAAAAGAGAGGAATACGAACTCAGAGCAGGAAGGTGGAGCTCTCCTTGAATTCAGAGCCAGGTATGGAATGATTGGTTAGTGTTGCATAGATTGACAGTGAACCCAGCCTAAAAAGGTCTCTCCCACCCACACTTACTAAAGGCAGCATCTGAGGTTAGAAAACCTCCAACACAAAATTGCTTAGAGTAGTAAGTAAATCACGCTAGAGTAGGCCTGTTGACTGAATGGGAACTCCTCTGCAAGTTCCATCAATTCAAACAGGCCTGCTCTGACTTATACTAAGGTAAGTCACAATTAGAGTAGATCTATTCAAATAAATGGAATTTACAGAGGAGTTAATGCATTAGCTCCCCAATGATTCAATGGGGCTTCCCAATGATTCAATGGGTCTGCTCTAGAGAGATTCATCATGTTAAGCAACAGGATTTTGGTCAACGAGTTTCACAGCTTGGGAGGACTAGAAGCTGGATTTCCTAGCTCTCCTTCTAACAACTGCACCACAATGGAAACAATCATAGGGTGTTTACGTGGGATCACAAATGGACTTCCAAAATGGTGATAAGTCCTACATTGTAGAGGACAGCCTGGTTTAAGGCTAAAACCTCACCAGCAGGAACAGCACCATTTTGAAACTGCTCATACATAGAGAGTACCTGGGCTGCAGATTGAGGAGGCAATAATCTTGGTGACAATCATTGCACAATGGTGTAATATACTCTATTTCTATTTAAATTTAATTTTTTGCAATTCCACATTTATGAATATAGATTAGATCATGCAAATTGTTGTTCTCTGGTGTCCTCGTGTTTTGGGGATATAGTTACTTTGAAATGGAAACCTTCCAGTCACACTAGGGTTATCAACAATGCAGTTCTTGCGCAGAGCAGCTGCCACATGGAAGTATTCTTGTGGGCAGTCTTCGTGGGACTGTGGGCTTTGAATCAGCCTTTAGGTGAGTTGAAATATATCAGAAGTAGACAGAGGTGTGTGTGTGTGTGTGTGTGTGTGTGTGTGTGTGTGCATGTGCGTGTGCGTGTGCGTGTGTGAGTGAGAGAGCGCACTGAAATCGGTGGAGGGGATCCTTTGTGTGGTAGTATTGAAGGCAATACACCATGTGAATTCCTAGAAGTCAATTATCCGAGCTGTAACCATTTTGTCCTCAAATGCTTTCTTCCTGGACGTTCAGCTGGCATGGACATTGCTCTTATTTCAGTGCCAATTTAAAGCTCGCTGTTCACCAATTCATTTGGGGCCTAGTGAAGTGGTGCCCTTTTCAGTCTAACCCTCTGCTGATTTGGTTTTGTTTGAGGTGTTCAGTTGTTTTAAAATGCTTCTTTAAACATCTTTCTAAAATGCTCAAAAATTTAGACTGTTTTGAGGTGGTTTCATTGATTGCACTCCGCATTGATAGGTTCTGATACAGATTTAACCCTCCTCCAGAGTATCGGGCAACAAATTCACATTGATAAACTTCTGAGATATTTCCTGACCCCATGGGAATGCTAATATATTGACGATTAACATAGGGAAAGGATTGAAGTCGCAGTTAAGGGTGGGGTTAGGATTAGACCTTCTAATAGCAGCAGCCCATTGCCTGAAATGTCAGCGTTCAAACCCGACAGCAGGGAATGGATCCCTGTGAAGATGAAGAGTTGGTGTTAGCGATGTCACAGAGACAGGCAGGCAAGAGTTGTACAGAACTGTTCCTGGACCAGTTGATTATGAAATGGGCACAGAAATCATGCAGGCAAAATGGATTTGGAATCCCAGATAAAACCCAGGTAACCGAGGATTTTTTTCAATTTTCAACTCAGAGCCAGCATGAGGGACGCATTCTTTATCTCCTCTGCCTCATTCCTTGTCCCTCACTTTCCATGTGCTATCACAGCAGAGGTGCAATGCACACCCACACAGTTATATGCTGGACCAGAGAAAGCTGGCACCAAGTGGGAATGGGTGGAGAAAAGTGCTCAGGTTTTAAGCCACTTCATGAGGAAAAACAAATCTTTCTCCTCCGGGGTTGCTTGATCAGAGGTTGGAGACAAAGCAGCCCCTTGTCAAGTCAACAAATCACCCATAAACAGCATTTCACAGAAATGAAAAGGGAAGGGAAGCAACACAGGGCATCTAAATAAGGAGAAAACACCCAAGCTCCTTTTCCATAACAATGTTTAGAAAGAGATATTTGTTTATTTATTCAACTGATATTCCACCTTTTTGCCAGAATTGGTGCTGAAGGAGGCAGCTGACGATTACAAAATACAGATCACAACCAAAATAGAACAAATCAATGAAATCTCAATAAAAGGACAAGAAAGACACAGAGAACTTTCTTCCCTAAAGCTCCCTCACCTTTCAATGGTGGACAAGCTTGCATGCGGGCCTTTTCCTGCCAGCAGAAAGGCAAAAGATATCAGCCCTTTCCTTCCATAGCTTTGTTGGCTCCATAGTTCGGAGGCTTGGAGCAGCTGCTGAGAAGGCCCTGCGTTGGTTCTGCACAAAACAATAATGGTGGGACCAAGATGGTAAATGGATAAAGCAACTATTTCAATAATCCTAGCCATCTTGCATTTTGAAATTAACCTACACCAAAACATGAGATACCCATCCATATCCTGCAGAGAAAAAAGCTTTGTTCTGTAAAGCAATGAGCACAGTTTGTGGTGCCCACATCTCATCTATTAGGAATTTCCCTGGCAAAATCCAAATTGCCATGAGCTTTTAGAATTTAAGTTCTTCACACTGGTACATGCCTTATGAAGTGGTACTTATCCACAACACCAGCAGATGATATGATGGTTTTTTAAAAGTTGTCTATAACAGTATGGTTTTTAAAAAGTTGTCTATAACAGTATTGCCTACTCTTGTATTTGTATTTTGTAATGACCACACTTTTCCCTTTTATCTCTATTAGAAAAGACAGTATTCCATTGGGTTCTCAGGCGATAATCCTCCTTTTGAAGTTCTCCTCCACTTGAAAGACTGTCTAATTTAAAAAAAGGCAGGGCCAGAAGAAAGGAGATCATGGACCTTGAAGATGCCCATCCAATATGAGCACCTGAGGAGCAGAATCAGTAGCCTTGTGAGTTGCTTAGTAATATTTTTCCCAAATTGAGTAAGATGCATTGTAACTCTGATTAAATTATAAAATGCATTTCTAAATTTGCATATGTATTTATAATTGGGATATTAAATTTATGCAGAACAGGGTCCTCTGTTGTCCCCTTCCTGGTGGTGCAGGTCTTCATTTTTGGTGATGTGTACATAGCCCTAGCAGAGTCCTGCTCATGGTCAATCATGCCAATTCCAATCTAAGAGCTACACCTGGCACTGCTAAATGTGATCAATAAGCAGTCAGTGCTACATTTAATGGCAGCCTGGTTCTCCACCTCTACAAGGCTTAGGAGAAACTTTCCCCTGACACCGTTTTTATGTATATTTCCCTGCCTGACTCCACTTTGCCTACTACAGATATTCATGAGATCTGATCCTCGAGAGACAGGAAATGTTGGGGGGGGGACCCATACAAGGTACTTGCAGCAGTGACAGTGACACCCTGGATCCCAGGATTCAGAACAAATTTTCTGTGACCGTGGAGAAATTTGATCAATGTAGTACTTATGTGCATGCAATTTATGCCTCATAAAAATAGGTCTAGCAAATGACTGACATAAAGCTATTGAAGTAGCCTGCTTCTGGTTAAAACATTTTCATTTGTTTGAATTTTACATGTATTTCACATATGTCCATAATTGTAAGTTATGCCATGCTCTGATGAGAATAAGTAAAGAAAGACCCTGGATTACATGCTCAAATCTTTTCCACTGACACCAACAGTATCCCTTCTAATACCCCTTCCAGTCACACACAAAATATAGCTGCTCCTTTACACTGCTGCCATACTATGTACAGTATGCATAATATTGTTCATGCAGGTTCAGTGGAGCCGATCTGTCTTGTTAGGATTGCTTGGTGTTTACTGGCAGAGTCCAGCCGCCTAGTGCTAAACTCTGCCAGTAGTTTAGCACTAGGCAGTGCTAAACAGAGTGATTCCTCTGGAGACTGGGAATGGGCCTATTGATCCCACAACCCGCTCCCCCAAAACCCAAAGGCAAAAACAAAAACAAAACTTGCTTCTCCCCCTCTTCTCTCCACAAAACTGGCAACAACAATGTAATGTTCATGAACAAAGAAATCCGTTTCAAGATCACATAGGAGGAAAAAGAAGCCTACATTGAGATAAAGAGGCCCTAATGCTGGCTGCTATGTGTTTAGAATTGCTTTTACTAGCAGCCATTTTCTAATTAAGGAGATGAGCAGGATGTGACCTCAGATGAGAAGGAGGATTTTAGAATTATAGCTGAAAGGGACTCCAACAACCACTGAGCAACCAACCACCAAAGCAGGAGATCTAAACCTGAAGCAACCCTCATAGATGAAGCAGAGTCCAGCTTCCTCCAAAGCATCCTATTCCACTATCAAACAGCTCTTATGGGCAACAACCTTTTCCTAATGCTTAGGTGAAATATGGTTTCCCATCATTTGAGCCTATTAGTTTAGACCCTACACTCTGGAGCTGCAGAAAACAAGCTTGCTTCATCTTCCATGTGACAGGCATTCAAATACTTGATGATGGCTATCATATTGCCTCCCAGTCATCTCTTCTCCAGACCAAAAATACCCAGTTCACTCCGTTTTCCCCTATAATGCTTGGTTTCCATGTGTGTTTTTTTCATCCTGAGTACTGTCTTCTGAAAATTTTCGTTTGTTAATACTTTTCTCAAATTGTGATGTCAAAAACTGGCACAGTGTTCCATACGAGTTCTGACCAAAGCAGAAAAGAGTGGTACTATTACTTCTTTTAATTGTGACATCATAATTCTACTGATGCTGCTACCTCACCCTACTGACTGTGTTTAGCTTATGGTCTACTTAGACCCCTAAATCTTTTTCACATATGCTATTGCCAAGCCTGCTATCACCCATCATATATTGGTACTTCTGTCCCCCTCCCCCGTCTGATTGTAAAATGCTATATTTTCCCTTTTAAAACTCATTCTGTTTGTTTTGGCCAAGCTCTTCAATCTGTTTACATCATCTTGACTCTATCTTCTGAAGTATTAGACACCCTTCTCAGTTTGCTGTCATTTGAAAAATTGATGAGTATTCCCACATCTAAGTCATTTTTGCAGAGAGAATGAATATTACTTTGGCATTATTTGTTTCTGACAAACTCATTCTAGGTATTAGAAATTTTTTATTGTTCATTGTCTGACTGCTTAGCCACCAGTTCTAGAATCTTCCCTGCTATTGCTCTCAAGCTGACTGCTTAGTAACAGCCTCAAAAAGATTCAAGAGTAGGACTGAATCTATGCTAAACAGTTACTGCAGTTTGACACCATTATGACTGGCATGCATCTTTTGTACAGAATTCTAGAATTCGTAGTTAGAATTTTCTGCAAGAGCAGTGGTTCCCAATCTTGGATAACCAAGATTGGTTCTTGGACTTGGGATTCTTGGACTTCATCTACCAGAAGCCTTCAGGACCTCACCAGGCTACCAATTCCAGGATTCTGTCGGAAGGAGCAATGGCATTTACAGTAAAGCACTGTCAAATAGCTAGAACGAAGCAGTGCATTCTAGGAATCTAAAAGCAGAACAAGACAAAAGGGGAAAAACAAATCCAGGCTATCTGCCTCCCTTCTCTCCCCCCCCCCCATGGGTTCAGATAAGTTATTAGAAATGTTGGTATTGTATTCCAGCAATTCCCACAAAACTAGTGTGTGTTTCATGCCACTTGCTCCAAAAGAGGGAGGGAGGAGTCGCAACCTCATTGAGTTCAGTGGATCTCCGTCTCGTGTGTGCTAGACAAGTGCTGACCACGAGCAGAGGTGGCTTAGATAGGCTCCTTCTCATGTGATGACAGAACATCATTTTTAAAAGAAAGTAGGAGAAAGGGGTGAAATGTACAGGCAAAGTTCTGTGCTGTGCAGCCAAGGTGACAACTTTATCACTCACAATGTCGTGTGGCTCTCGCTCCACTTTCTCATATCTAGTCCCTAAATGCAAGATGTTAATAACAGCAAACATTTGCTCTTGAACTCTCCCTCAACAGTATTTCCGGTTACTTTTTATCTACAGCAACAAGCATTTTTCTTTTCCACCAACCTCATTACCATGCATTCAGCCTGACTGGTGCAAGCCGTGATATATTATGATCTGTGCACTCCATGTGGATAAAGAAGAAGCTATTTCCCAGCCCACTAGGTGGTCCCTCCAGGGCATAAATGATGATGATGTGCAGCAGTGGGTTAATGTGGGTGGGTAAAGCCTTCATTGCTGTCTGCTCAAGGCATAGATCAAGATAATCATATGCTTTCCCAGGGAATAGACAGAATGAACAACCTGATTGCAAATGTGGCTTTTATACTTCTTTCTATAATGTGATGGTTGGAAGAGCCTGTACAACATTGAGGTACTTTAGCAGAGAAGCAGAGAAGGTGATTGTCTCTTACTTTACACAATGATTGTCTTTACTCATCTATTCAGTTGCAGACACTGATGTCCATAGGGAGGCAAGGGGAAGAGCAACCCCCTTCCAAATCCTAAAATTGCTGTTCTTTTAATGTATACAGATATATGCACTGCAATGTGGTAAGAATCATGCTAATACACAACATAATGAATTACGGTGAAGAATGCTAAAAGGCCACTATATTGCTTTGTCTCTCTTCCAATATATATATATATATTGCAAGGGATATATATACTCTCTCTGTACACACACACACACACACACAGACACACACACCCACACACACACACACACAGAGAGGGGGGGGGGGGTTGACACAGAAATCCCAAATCTTCTTACTACTGTCTTTGGTTACAGATGCTCATTCAAGATGGTATGGTGTGATAGGGATGCATCAACAAACACAGAGACAGTACCAATTCCACAACTAAACACCCATGTATTTCTGTCCCCTTTAAATCCAAATATATATATACAGTAGAAACAACACATTCCAGTTTTCTTCATGCATATACTCAAGCAAAACTGGGTGGAGCCCTTCTGTGTCAACAGTCCAATGCAATGGGCATCCCAGTAGTTTTGAACAGCCAGGCGTTCAATATGAGAAGTTGTGGATTTTCTAGCATGGGTGCTTAGTTAATAACTTATGGTGGCTCTGACCAGATCATGCCAAAGCTCTCTTTAGCCCAGTATCTTGCTCCTGCTGTGGCCAACTAGATGTATCAACCAGAAGCCTATGAGCATGGCATTAGTACCCATCTGAGCAAACAATTTTGCAACAATTGATATTCAGAGGTCTCTTGCATCTGATACTGGAGGCACTCTATTATCATCACAATTCGTTACCACTAATATGTTCTTAATTAGTCTAATCCCCTTTCAGTAATATCCAGTACATCATTACAGCTTTTGATAGTGAATCCCTTCACTTGTCTATGCCTAGTATAAAAAGGTAGAGTTTTTTCCCCTGTGAATCTCCTACATTCAGTTTCAGTGGAAAACCCAGATTTCCAGTATTATAAGAAAGAGATTTCCCCCCTTATTCCTTTTATTGCACCATACATAATTATATCTTTTTAATATTTCAAACTAAGCCTCAAGCAGCATAACTTTTTCTTAAAGGGCAGTTTCTCCAGTTCCTGGATTATTTATGCTGCCCTCCTATATTCTAAACAAAAATAAATTACGCTGAATGGAAGAGAACTGTAGAAAATAGGGTGGCTTCAAATCTTGAATTATGATTGGTTTTTATGTGGTTTCACATCCACACTTTTAACCTGATTGGTTCCTTTGGCAAAGAAGAACTATTCAGTTCAAAAAGTTCATGCTGAACAGTTACATTTGATGTAAGCTTCCAACAGAATTTTAGCCCCATTTCTTCAGATGCAGTGGGCTACAGCCAGTGAGAGCTTATGCTGAAGATGAATTATTAGTCTATAAACTTTAATGGCAGTGGCTTAATTGGCGGCTCTGCTAGAAATTTCTGCATAAGGAAAACAAGTAGATCAAGGTAGTCCAAACTTTGGTATCATTGCATAATGCAGTGA